GCTGGGCTCAGTACATAGGGGGGTTGCAGATGCCAGAAATAGTGTAAATTGAGTCCACTTTTAGGGTTAGGGTTAGTGCTAGGGAATCATGGGAATTGGGTTTTTTTCTCAGACATTGAGCCTTCTCTGTCAGAGAGCTCTGGTGCCACAATAAAATACAGTTCCCATGATTTCCTAACCCTAACCCTAAAAGTGGACTCAATTTGCACTATTTCTGGCAGTCTGCAACCCCCCATAGTTAACCAAATAGGTACATCTTTTATAGGAAAGTCTGTGGTTCAACAACTCCAGGGTGGTAATTCAGCCGGGAATTCTACTACTTGTCCCCAATTTAAGCAGAAGTAGCAATCACATTGCTCTTTGCTTACTGAAGATATATATGTTTCAGTTGAGAAATTATACTGTCTTTCAGAGAGAGCAGTGTGTGTGTGTGTGTGTGTGTGTGTGTGTGTGTTTTAAATGCAAGCATGCATTATATCTTGAAATACTTGACCAGTTATATCCCACATGCCATTCCAGGAAATACCAGTGTGGCTTTTAAAATCCATGTCCCCAGCTCTTTATATATCTGTATGTGTGTGTGTGTGCATGCGTTTTCATTCCTGACAAAGGCCAATGAGAGGACTAATCAATATCTCGCAACCCAGCTGTGACTGGGCACATAAAGAAGTCGAGAAAATAAATCCCCTCACTGATCTCTATAATGTAACATTTGGGTCAGAGAGCTGCATCTGGGATGGTTTCTAAATGGGGCGGCTGCATGGGATAGATCTCTCGTGTCTCAACGCTAATTGTTAAACAGAGGTGTCAGCACAAAAGTCTTTGCATACCGACTGGAGTCTGTGTTACGTCTTGCAGCTAAGTAATACAACCATCACTCAATACAAAATGAGCAATATTCTTGATGTGCCCTTTACCTGTAAAGCCAGCGAAAAGCAACCACGAATGCTTTCTTACAGGTTGAAAATAATAAGCATTCTTCCAAATATTCACAGTCTTAACTTAACCATCATCTACTCGGCTACAAATCAATGGAGCTACTCCCAGGTATGTGACGATAGGATTGCAGCCTTCAACACTTTATGTCATCTGAAAAAATCAATTTTACTCCATCCCCAAAGCAGAAATGGAAGAAAGAATCCAGTGACAACTGCTGTCCAAAACCTGACACAGGCTGCATCCACATTGCAGAAATAATCCGGTCTGACACTGAGTTAACTGCCATGACTTAGTGCTGTGGAATTCTGGGGATTGTAATTTGTTGTGGCACCAGAGCGCTCTGACAGAGAAGGCTAATTCTGGGAGAATCCTGGGATTGGTAGTTTTCATTCCTGACAATTTCTGAGACATTGAGCCTTGTCAGATAGATTTGGTGCCACAAGAAATTACAAACCCCAGACTTCCATAGCACTGAGCTGTGGTAGTTAAGGGTCCAAAACACACTACAGAAATAACCCAGTTCGAAACCTCTTTAACTGCCCTGGCTCATTGCTAGGGAATCCTGGGAACTGTACCTTTGTGAGAAATTTTGTCAGAGAGAGAGAGCTCTGATGCCACAATAAATTACAATTCCCAGGATGCCCTAGCATTGAGCGGGTCTCAAACCAGATTATTTCTGCAGTGTGAATACAGCCACAGAAAGAACAACATATCCTTGATCTTTGCATCAGATAAAAGGGGGGGG